GATATAGTAATATATTAGCAATAGTATGGATGTTACATGTAGGTGTATTACAAGAGGGAGAGAATGCGCAGAAATATGGTATTAATAATGGATGAAGATATAGTAATATATTAGCAATAGTATGGATGTTACGTGTAGAAATGTGGTATTATAATGGATGAGGATATAGAAATATATTAGCAATAGAAACTGAAGTGAGGAAGAATATATAACTGAAAAATTAAATCAAAATTAAAGAAAAAAAACTCAAAATGCCAAAAATAATAATGCTCCTTTTTACAGTGGACTTTTCAGTAATGACAAATAAGAGTACATTCCATGCCGAGGTTGGAGTTGCCTTGCATAGAAACTATAGTTTATCATGCATGGCTTACTCCCAACTTTGACTTGGAAATATCATTGGTGGTCACAAAATGGAACTGTAAAATACTAATAATATCACAGGATTTTTGGAACAATTCCAAGTATCCAGTTTGAAAAATTATAACTAATGTGAAGCTACTCCAAAATTAGTGTTGGTAGGTCGTCGGCACTTTATCTGTAGGATGTTTGTTTAGGTTGTTAGTGGAGTCTTGATAGATTAGTGGTAGACTGAGTGTTGTAAGGTTAGATGTAGGATGCTAGTAGGAAAACAGTAGTTTGTAGGTAAAAAAATGGTATACTGTCGTCCAACATCCTACCAAAACTATTTGGGGTCACATTCTTTCTATTACCATCCTGTCAGATTTACCTTTCTTTTCAAAAGCGGTGATTTTTGAAAGGAATTGTTAATCTTTGCTACCTATCAAATAGTGACAGAAAAAACACAAGCTGTTCCATTAACTGTTCAATAAAAATAAAAATGATTTGTAACATTTTACAACATTTACAACAACAACAACAGTTTATAATTGTATCAAATATTTGTACACCAATAGTGATGCACTGAGTTAAAGAAAAGTACAAATACATTATTATATATTGATTAACAGATCAAAAACAGTTTTCCGTGTTTGATACTCTGATCAAAACATGCGGCATGTTGATAGAACACGAGAGGAGCATAGGAAACCATGATGCTTACCGGAGTGGTTTCCAGCTTCTCATGTGTTCTCTCAACATCCCGCTTGTTTTGATCAGAGTATCAAAAAACGTGAGCATGTTTTGATATTCTCATCAAACATGGTTTTCAACCAATCGTAGCGCATGTACTATCCTAATTATCTCATAATATTCATTCAATTCATTCATGAAATAAATTGGAATAACGTTAAAATCAGTTTTAACAGTTTTAAAACAATTTCACTTTTAAATTAATTTGCTTGCAATTAAGAGCAATTTTTAAATCAAAATTTAGCAGAATTAACTTTTATGTAACCTAAAAATGCTGCATGAATTATTTCAGAATATACTGGCATTTTGGACATAATAGTCCTTTATCAGCATAAAAACAAGTTATTTACAAAGACATTAGCAAATCCTCATCCATAGTTAGTAGAGAATTAGTATTAACAAAGAATCTTTCATTAGATTGTCATTAATTCATTATCAGCAATTAATTAGTGTTATGACGTTAGAATGGTGTTATATGCATGTGCAGCCTGTAAAAAATGAAGACAATCATGCCGCATGCTAGACTAGTAACATAATAGTTAGGCAAGGGCTTAAAATAACTGCCGGACATCAGACAATGTCCAGTTAAATCTTTGCTTTGCTGGTGTCATTTTGACCATTAACATTGACCCAGAAACAAGGTATTACCAAACTAAAACTAATTAGGCCGGCCATTATGATTGGCGACATACTGGGTGTTACTTTAAGCCCTCTTAGATTATATATTCTCCTTTACAGAACACATTAAGACATGAAAAGCATATATGAAATGTCGTCTGAGCACAGATTACCTGAAGTGGCTGAACATCCAGTAGTTTCTTCATCTTTAAGTCTTTTGTTAGTTCTAAAGGTGTTTGACCTGTCACATAACAAATCATTTAAATAATTAATTATGGAGAAATAATTATATGGGAAAATAAAAGGGTAACATGGGTGGTGTACACTGCTAATGCATCATCTTTCACCACTGTAGTTTCAGTCACTGGTTCAAGCCCTGCAGATACCATATATATGTTCCTTGCTAGCAGAGTCTCTCCTCTTTCTCTCCCTTCGTTAACGTGGGGAGGAGGGAGACTCTGCTGATGTAAAACGTTTACTTTGACACACTGCCATCCACAATTGGGGATGAACGAAAACAGTTTTAAAACCGTTTTTTTTAACCGGGTAAATTGTACATGTAGTTGTTTGAGAGCGGCTGTCGAAATCATGACAGCATTGCTAAGTTATGCCACGCACTGGTACGACAAGCATAACGTCCTACATCGGCACAGTCTATTTTTCTCACTCTACCAAAACAAAAGGTAAATAGGCTCTGCTAGCAAGGAACAATATATGTGAATCGTGTATGAACAAAGACAACAAAATCATGCACAACATTCTTTGTTTCTCCACTAACTATATATTGTATCAATAATTTATTAAATGTCAGTCACCTGACTTATTCCTCATAGAAGTGTTAGCTCCATGCTGAAGTAACATTACCGCTATTTCTTTATGACCACTGTATATGAAGAAAATGTGAAGAAATCATAAAAAAGTACTAATATTATGGCAAATTAGACAATGGCAAACCTTTATGGCGTAGTTCCAGAAATTATCCAAATCCTCCATACCCCCTCCCCACACAGAGGGATTTTCTTAGGACATCTCCCCCTACCCCCAGAAATTCCAATTTTCTTCCATACAAACCCTGTAATTTTGTTCTTTCTCTGACCCCCCTACCCCTTAGATAATTTCTGGAACTACACATTCCGAGTTTTGAAGACTAATGTGGTTAAATTTAAGCAAAGTTAACTGAGTTGCTGTTAGCCATTGCCCTCATATCGCGGTTTTGCCCCGCCCACCCTCCTCTGGTTGGACAAGGTAAGTAGTTTACTTCCACTGTGTAAGCAGTGTGACAGGTGCCGAGGTTGACCCGTGGCTTGGTTGCCATGGTTACCTCTTGCCAGCTAGTTGCCATCGCCTACCGCTTTGCCAGGCACCTACTCTCCATCGTAACGACAAGTTAATAGAGGATAACACTTGACAGTAATTCAACTGATAAACTTGTGGTCCTCTGTTAACGTCTCTAGTTAATTAGGGATGGGACCGCCATTAACGTGATCATCTGAGCCACGTGAAGGTCTAACCATTTGCAGATGTAATTACAAAGGCAGCACCTTCTCCTCAGTTATTTTAAGACCCTGAGTGTTGGTCCAGCTGAGGCTTGAACAACGACCTCCCGCACAACAGACCGACGCTCTTACCAACTGAGCTAACTGGGTGGCGGTTATATGCATTAGATGTTTTAAAGAAGCTTGAAAACGAACCTTGACATCAAGTAAGTCCATTTTCTCATCAAATAAAGTTTTTGCTTTTGCTAGTGCTTCTTCATTCTCATCCAGCTCTATTGTCTGTACTTGGTCTAACTCACTCAGGACATCCTCCATGGCCTTTCATAAAATACACACAAAATAGGAAAAATGAATGAATAAAGAAAGTGAATAAATGCATGGAAGAAAGAAGGAAGGAAGGAAGGAAGGAAGGAAGGAAAAAGGAAGAAAGTAAAAAATATCAACTTATTCTACACACCTTTTCATGTTTTTCAATCAGTTCATTTTTCCTCAGCTGAAGGACATATTCATTTTGCTGCTGAAGTTTCTCTATTGCCTAGGATATAAGGCATACCATAAATACCACATAATACATAGCAGAACGTTTACCTCAATCTTGTGTGTGACAGAATTACAAAGCAAGGTTCACAGAGACTTGCTTGTATAATAAAACCCCTGCAGTTATACTAAAGCTACACAATGTAACAAGGCTTCAAGGATTTCACAAGAAAATGCTAAACTTTGCTAAGAATAGGCTAGAATTTTCACAAGGGTTATGCCAAAATAGACGACTTGCACTAAGAGGTCACATGATCAAATCCGCCAATTTTACAGGATTTTAGGTATGCGAGAAGGTAAAAAAAGATGGCAGATTCAGGTAGTTTTTTGGTGATAAAAGGTAAGTTAGCTAACTTTAACCTTTTATCACCAAAAAACTACCCGAATYCGCCATTTATTTTTTTTTACATTCTAGCATAGCTAAAATCCTGTAAAATGCCAACCACAATGGCCGATTTGATCCCGTGACCTCTTAGTGCAAGTCGTCTATTTCTGAAAGCTTTTCCTAGGCAATATAAAATAGCACTTACCAACTCCTTTTCTTTTTCAATCTTCTCCTTAAACCCATCCAATGAAGCATGGTGATCCTCCTCATATTTCTTTTTTTCTTTCTCAAACTCTGCTGCGAGTTTTTCTTTCAGCTGTTTCAGACTTCTTTGCTGATCTTCTTTTAAGTTAGACTCCAGCTGTTCTTGTTCATCTTCTAGCTCGTCTTTCATTTCATCAATGGCTTTCTCCTTCTCTTTCTTCAAAGTAGCTTCCTCTTCCTCCTTTTCCTGTTGTATCTTGATTCTTAGTTTCCTTAGGGCATCTTGCTTTCCTTCTTGTAGCATGGCTTCTTCATCCAAAGCTTCTTCTTTTGCTTTCTCTCCTAAGGTTTTCATGACAATCTCATGCTGTTGTTTCAGCCTTTCCTCCTCTTTTTCCTCTTCTTGTTTGAGTTGTTTTCGTAATCTTTCTAGGGAGTCTTCTTTTTCAGTTTTCAGTTTATGTTTGGCTTCTTCTAGTTCTTTTTCCATTGTTTTTCTCAGATCTTGTAGTGTACTAGCTGCTTCACTAGCAAGCCTTAGTAACATTATGAACAGAGAAATACATAAAAGAAACTGTAAGCATGAGAAATAATAAGCTTTTTTGATCACTTATGATTATTCACAGTCAGTTTGTTAATCAACCTTTGTCAAACTGACCTAAAGTCAGTACATCTGTCTATCTGCCAGTCATGAAATAATAATTCTAATTGAAAGCGAATCTGCATAAAATAGATTGATGAATGGATGGATGAACAAATGGGTAAATGGAAAAATGGATGAATAAATGGGTGGATGGATAGATGGTGGGCAGTTGGATGGATATATGAACAAATGGGTTGGTGGGTGGGTGGATGGATGAACAAATGGGTGGATGGGTGGGTGGGTGGATGGATGGATGAACAAATGGGTGGGTGAGTGGGTGGATGGATGGATGGATGGACAAATGGGTGGATGGATGGATGAACAAATGGGTGGGTGAGTGGGTGGATGGATGAACAAATGGGTAAATGGATTGATGAATAAATTAAATAAAATTAACACTTACTTCTTATGTTCTTGCTCCACTACTACTTCATTTTTATGTGGTACAGCTCTCCTAAAAACAAAATAAATATTAGTTAGACCTCAACAAGGTGTGTAGCTGCTTAAATACTTAGTTTCTCAGGGTGTTAATGTTCAAAAATAAACAAAGAAGTTTTACCTTTCAGCTGCTTCTGCTAGTATCCTGGCTTTCCTCTCTCTGTCATCCTCTTCCTGAGTCCCAGCACTTGGCAAAAAAAAAAACCAGAATTGAAAATTAACATGGTCACTTTGATGAAGATGAGATATAATGAGTCAGTGATGATGATGACAGAATTTCGATGATTAATAGTGCAGATGATGTTGATGATGATGATGATTGATGATGACAATGATGATGGTGACTTACTCGGACAGTATTTCAATGATTAATAGTGCAGATGATGACAGTGGTGATGATGATGATGACGGCGACACACTCAGGAGAATATTTCAATGATTGATAGTGCAAGTGATGCTGGTGGTGATGATGATGATGAAGATGAATGATGATGAAAGTGATCAATCACAGTGACAGTATTCCAATTTTTTAGTGCTATTTGCTGACGTCAGTAATGTTGGTGGTGGTAATAATTGATGATGACAATGATTAAGATGACATTGGTCATGATGACAAATATTGATAATGACGACACCCTCAGTACCTTATCAGCTTGCCTCCTGACTTCTGATTAGCTTCAACATCAACCTTGTTGTTGCTTTTCATCTGAATATACAAGAAGTGTCCAATAAACTATTCTAGTCTGTCTGTATTATTTTCATTTCATACCAGGCAATTCTACATGTACCAATTTGCCACTTCAATATGCTGCATACAATAAGCACCATCTACCAGATAAATCCTTACCCAGTGGATAAACTTTACCGAAATGGCGTCAATTGGTTGCATAAGCTGGTTGGAAGCTCATTAGTAGTTATCATATGGATAACTATTTGCTGAACGGCACTGTTATCTGCTGGATAGCTCTTAGAGCATATTTCATATGAATGTGAGAAAGTCAGTGCCATATGCGTGCCTTGCTGTGACCGTGATACTTTCTAGAATTTTGATTGGTGAATTTTTTCCCCCTAGAAATGTGACTGGTTTGGCAGTGCCATGACCTTGGCATAAACCTGTCTTCACCATGTTCATGCCGTGTTTCGGGCATTTGATTGGATTGAGAGTAAATTCTCATGCAATGTGACTGAGCTGATGCATGCCTTGCCATATCTGCAGGAAACCTCGTTCAGGATTCATATGACCAGCTCCAGGTCTATACAGTATGTGTTTAGAAACATTCACTCACACCTAGAACTAGGTGTGAGTGAATATTATTAACTAACCTCTATATTTGCTATGTCAGAGCTCATTCCTTCTAGTCTGTTTGATATTGAAGGGTTTATACCAAAATCCTACAATAACAAAATCACACTTTAAAAAGTTTGTTTGACATTATATTGGTGTACCCAAAGAACTTACGAAATATTTTTTTTGACATTATTAATTTATGTATACGAGTATTTATATAAAATATATATTTGTACTGCAGTAATAATATATCTAATTGAGCCGATCTGCACAGTATATCAAGCAACTTATGCAGCCGCTAATTGTAAGACTTTTAAAATTCTGAGTCTTGAATGGGATTTATAAGCCTTTTTGAGATTTGATTGAAATGATGCATTGTGGTCTAACTTGGGTAGAAACGATACGATACATATAAGGCATGATGAATAAGAAATATTTGTACCCAAGCTAGACCACAATGCATCATGTGGCTATCTCATAAAAGGTTAATGTCCTCCAGATATAATAGATGTAAAATATATAATGTTAAAATAATTTTGGCAAAACTGCAAAAAACTGTAAGGCCTAGGGCAAACATCGAACTTTCCATGCACCGAACTCATTAAAAACGATGGATATCAGGTGATAATGAGGCGGCATTCTTTGATGTAATTTAGTTCGGTGCATGGAAAGTTCAACGTTTGCCCTAGGCCTAAGAGGAAATGGTTTGAACCCAGGTGTCACATCAGATGTTAGTCACATCAGTCACCACCAACAACAGTCTTTCTCAAGACTACGCTCACCCAGACAATCACAATTTACAACAAACAAACAAAAAGCTGTAAGCTATACTGCAAGATATACACACCACTTCTTCTCCATCGTCCATGTCACTAATTGACGGCGTGTTGGGCTGCTTCAGGTTGGAGCTTTCTTCAATATCAGATTCCTATTGAATTGTAACTTACAGTTAACAATAAAATTATTAAGTGTGCCAGGTGGTGGCCCATGGCTGGTTACCATGGTTATGTCCTTGTCACAAGGGAATCCTTGTGGCAGGATCAAGGCGCCTAAGCCCATCCTCATCATTGTCGATGAGTTTATTGATTATAAGGGTTATGTAGTTACAATAGAGAAAGATTGGCTGATACAAGTGCAAGAAAAGTAGTCTTTTATCTAGTGAATGGTGTTTGTATTTTACCTCATAACCAAGTGCAGCTATGTCATGAGCACCAAAATCGAATGTCCCTCTTTGTGGACTCTGAAATATAGAAGAATTAAAATTACTGTATAAAAGATTTTTAATCATTTACATTACATCATTAGAGTGAGGACACTCTAACCATGAACACTTTGTGCTTTTTTACTACTTTTTTAACATGCATCCCTGGAGTGAATCATTTAGAAATAAGTTGTCTTTTGATCACATAGCATATTTGAGTTCAATCCTACTTTTTTAGAGGGTTTGAGGCAGTAAAAAGCTCAGGAAATAAAAATTTGAATAAAGTCAAGTGTTCATGTTTCGAGTGTCTTCCCTGTAATACACTCATCTTGTACTAATCATCATTGCATTATCATATAATCACCATCACAAACTGTGTTAATCACTAGCACTCATCACCATCACCATCATCACTATCACTAACATCCCCATCATCACATTACTTGCCATCTTCAACATCAACAATAATTTTTACTATTATTATTAACTAGAATATTATTATCACTGTGATTGACATTATTTATGAACTAAAACATGGATGGATTCAGGATTAGGCCAAGGGGCCAAGGCCCCTCTCTTAATTTTGATAAGTCAGAGGTTCCACCAATGCTGAAGTTTTCCACCCCTTCCCCTTCCTCCGATTCCTGGATCTGCCCCTGTAGATGACCATTGATGCTTACAGTACACTGTATACCTTGTCTAGTTCATCTTCACTTGAAGAGTCAGCCATAAGGTTAAGGTTGATATTATCCCCCAGTGATGTATTCAGGTTGATCACAACAGGATCATGTTCATTAGACGATTCTAATGGATCTTGCTTCTTTTCAAGCTTACTTCCCTATAACCACAAACAACACAGAACTTTTAAGTAACTTTCTTAGAATGAAATGACCTACACAAGTATAGCTATGATTAAAGAGGTCTGGGTTTTGGCTTCCATCAACCAAATTTCCATTAGTCTGGGTTAGTAATTTTAAATTCCTACATGACCATATCAATGTAGCATGTAAACAAAGAACGTACAAAAAAAATGCATCCAATCATCAGACAATGTCAACCCAGAATGGATCAGCAGCACATGGGAATGCAGCTTAATTTGAAGGCAAAATAATAGGTATCCATATCTCAGGAGACTGAAATTCTTTTTGTTTTTTCCTTCAAATTGAGTTCCTTTGACGTCACATGCAAGGGGTCTATTAAAAATTGTGCAGTCAAATCCCAGAAACAAGGCACGACCTAGCAAAAACTAATTTGCCCAGTCATAATGACCAAAAGTTATTTTTAGCCATGATTCATCAAGTGATTATCAATATTACCATTCCTCCATGCTTGATCCCACCAAGAGCTTTTTGTAGGAAAGGATCTTGAGTAGAGGGTTTACTACTAAACCTTGCACCACCTCCTTGATCTCCYCTAGGTCCTCCAAGAGACCTTCCAAGAGAGCCCTCTAGTGAGTCCACACCAAATGATGAGCCTCCAAGGGAACTGTTCATGGAGGAGCCCAGAACAGCTGGAGATGGACTTTTTAAAGGAGCCAGAGCCCCTAGCGATCCTAATGGAACTTCACCTTTTAGTGGAGACAGGCCTATACCCTTTAAATTTAACATATAAAGTTAATATATATTAATTTTACTCCATTTGAAATACAACCAATCAGAATGCAAAGCCATTGTATATTTGGCGGTATTCCAATATTTCTTCCCAACAGGCATTGCAGTCTAGGCATTAATTTTAAATAGTTATATAATGCTTTCTTGTCACATACCCCAACAAATATCCCAATTGCCACTTGTACTTTCTAGACGTATACTCACTCAAATATTCCAAATACCATCAAATGTCCTACAAGGCACTTCTATTTTCTAGTATAGAAGCTTTGCACCATCAAGTGATAGCAGACATGACAGGAGGCAGGAACGATGCAATCTGGTCTAATCTGATTTGCATGAGAAAGAATTCCTTCTCCTAGTGGGAAGACTATTGTTGTGCCTCCTGTCATGGCTGCCATCACGTGATAGTGCAAAGCCTCTATACTCACTAAAAAGGTCATGTGCATACTAGAAAATACAAGTGCCTCATGGGATATTCCAGGGTATGCTAGTGTAAATCATTATTTGACTGGCATATATCACCCTGGATTTTCGGTGAGTGTTATATAATAATCATTGCCATGGCTGAATTGATTGATTATTGTATAATAAACATATCCATCATAATTCAATTTATATTTCCATGAAACTTGGTCACACAACTAACCTTCTGTTTCACAGGGGGATCCAAAATCTTTACTTTTTTATTGTCTTTTTTATCTTTCTTCTTGTCCTTCTTGGGTCCACTTCCTGCTTTTTTCATCTTCGCACGTTCTTCTATCACCATAGTGCGATAATACTCATCACAGGGATGGTCCCATACACTCTCTCCAGTCCCAAAGTTGAAATAATAAATTTCTCCTTGGGAATCTTGGCTGAAGATAGAAAATAAGCAGGGGAAAAATGAAAGAATTCAGAACACTTTACAGAGAGATCCCATAGACCTCTAGCTCTTATAATGAATATAATGAATAACAAAAGAGTTTCCTTTTATGTGAAATTTTTCTTTCAAATTCTATCAATACCCCCAGGAGATGTGAGGGAAACTCACATATTGAATTTAAATTTTAGCATATTAGCTTTTCCAGAGGTAAACAAGGAAACACAATGGAGAGACATAACAATTCTACTTAGATGTCATGCCAAGTCTAGGAATAGAGATAAGATCCCAAAGGAAAGAAAGAAGTACACTACTAGGTAGTGGATAGTAAAAGATATGCTAAACTGGATTTGAAGGGAGAAGTTGGAATTAGGTTTGGGATATACACATGCAGAAAAGCCTGCTTGCTCGAAACACTGGTGCACGAAATCCAAAGCAGCACACAAGAAGCAAGTAGAAAAGGACCTTTGCTCGCAAGATAGCCTGAACACCTTATTTTCTCTAAATCTGTATTGTAACAAAGGAGAAACATGCATATGCCTGCTTATTTGAAACATACACACAGCCTTCAAAACCCCATCCTTTGGAACCCAGGGTGAAATTCTGTTACTCCTGGGTTCTATAGGATGTTAAAAACCAATATGGGTAAAGACCTAGGTTTTATGTATGCAGCTTCAAGATGATAAGGAAAGTTGGAGTGAACTAGATGTTTTTTCTCAACAAAAACCGATTTAACTCGCGATTTCTTCTATGTTTGAACAAGTTACAATACTTGTGATAGGTTTCCCGTCTAATTATTGTCTTATGAACAAAGGATCAGAACAAAAATATTTACATTAGAATGCGTAAAAACGAAAGTGACACTATAATTCTGCTAAAAATACAGATTCATCAAAGTAGGGGAAGAAATATGGAGGTGAAGTGGTTGTATCGGTAGAGTGATTTTTGTATTCAGTTATTACCATGGTTTCCAATCCGGAGGTAATGGAGCTACGATTCCTTCTCTTGCAATCCATAATAAAGATTTTTCTGTATCTGGATCTATACCTATTAACTGGGCATACTCATACACCTCTGTCAAGATAAAAAAGAACACAAATGTTTATTAATTTGTATAAAAATAATTGTACAACAATGATAAAAATTTGAAATACGAGTTGAACTTTTTTTTCCAAATTTATATTTATCAAAGATAAAATAATACTTTTTCAACATTTTAGATAAAAAAAATCTAGAAAAAATTGAAATATAGACGATTAAAGGAAAAAATAATTATTTTGTCTTAGATCAAAAGAATGATAATAAAAAACGGGGTGATAATGACAGCTATTAAGAAAACTTCCAAGTAAAAATTATGCCTAAAATTATGCGTCTGACGAAAAGGACATTTGCTGCAGCCAAAAAGTTCCTTGAACGTTCCAAAAATTTTCTCATTTTTATTCTTTTTTCAAGTCTAGATGATAACATAAGTTTATTCCACGTGTTTTAACGGAAATAGTTAAGAGAGAATTGTAAACGATTGAAGGACAATAAACGAATTTGAAACCGAAAACCGAGTACAAACACAACGAACAGATAATCTGCGCCGCAACAAAGCCTTTCAAACTATCTTACTATTCTTTCTCCTGAAAACATATTGAGTCTACTTTATCAAAAAGTAAGGTAGAGTCCGCTAAGAAGTAATGGTTTAGTGATTTTTCACTCATGCAAGACTATTTCGCATGTGGTTTTTTTTTCCATACCGTTTTCCGTTGGTTCATACGACTCATCATATTCCTCCTCCAAAATAACTTGTCCATTGATAACATTATTTGCCATCATCTTGACGGACGTCTAAAGCACTCCCTTAGTAGTCCTTTGGTTTGTTTTAATTGAATTTTAGACTCATTTGTGAGAGTTTTTGGGAGTTCTTCAGAAACCGCGACGCGTCTCTTGTTGTCAACAGAGAGAAACGAACTTTTGACCGCTAAGAATTCGTGACTGGAACATCGGTAAATATTCGGCTAGATTTCGGCTCAAAGTCGGTTCATTTTCGGAATTTGACCCGACAAACGACAACATCCCGAATACTCTGGGGACATCGCTCCGCCAAATTTTCCGCAAGATTTTTTCTAGCTGCTGCTTCTGCTGCTTTTATTTTTTTTACCTCAGGAAAAATTTGAAGATGAATGCACACAAAGTAAGTTTAGTCTAGTATATATAGTTATTGGTAAAAGATGAATCAAAATGTTATAATTTATGCATAAAATTACAGGACACCCTAATAAGCCCCACAATAATGAGAAACAGTAACATTTTTTGTTGTTTTTGGAAATTTGGCTTGACATAAGCTTAATTTGTGCATAAATAGACATATTTAGCTGGAACGTCATGTTTTCCCATTTCAGATCACATTGTCATTTCCTAGAGTATATTTTCTTTGTGTGATGGTTTTGCATGAGAAGACACGAAGAACTCAAACACAAAGAATCTTATTCTCAAGAGAATGACACATGGTTTGAAATAAATTAAACATGACCAAGTTAAAGAGGTATTGAACGTTAACATTATGCCCAAGTTAGAGGGATATATATTGACATACACCAGTATGCAATTTTAGATCTAATTTTTAATAATAGTTTTTGGCCCATTTCAGTTTAGTGGGTTGATTGCTGCTACATTCACACCATTTGACGAGAATGGGTAAGACTTTTAACCTTCCTTTCAATTCCATAAATATAACATAAAATCACCTTGCATTCTTGTCATTCTCGTTTGTTACTGGCAGTGAGCTGAACTTGGATGTAATTGATGAATATATTAATTTTTTACTTGATGAAGACATATTTGGCATTTTTGGTAAGTGTATGGTATTGTACTGGATGAGTGTTAATAAATTTTCATTATGTGATATTCTAATATTTGTAGTCCAGATTATAGTCAGGACTTAATTTTCTGATTCAGTGATTTACTGCATTTGACTGCACTACACAGGGACTGTTGAGCATATTGAAAAGTAGGGGGGGCTGGCATATAAAAAGCAAGCATATTGAAAAAAGAAAAATAGCTATAAAAAGATAGTATAAGACTTGGTGCAAGACAGTCCCCCGGCTCCGCGGTCCCTGCTACAGTATTATAAGGAGGGGGAAGGGAAAAAGGGGGAATCAAAATCTCCACCAAACAAGATAGACTGACATGACCAGGATTCTTAATACTAAGGCTGCGTTCATAATGCATGGCAGAGGGGGGGGGAGGGGGCAGGTGAAAATTTGAAATGTCCAGAATAATTCTTAACACCCCCCTTAAAGTCATGCAAAAAATACGATCCTCCTAAGCAAGGCTTGTAGCTTCTTCCAAAAATTGTGCATTCCCCCCCCCCCTCATTTTTCTGATAAAATTTTCCCATCCCCCCTTTTTCCTACCAAAATTTTCCCGATCCCTTCTCAATTTCACCTGGGCCCCCCTTTCCCCCTCTGCCATACATAATGAACGCAGCCTAAATTGTGTTTTTTTCATTTTTTGTCAGTGGCAGGAGCAACTGGTGAAGGGCTTAGCATGACTGTACAAGAGAGAAAGGAATTAGCTGAAAAGTGGATGAAAGTGGGAAATGGAAAGTATGTCCATCTTTAATTATTCTCATTTCTCACAATGTAGAATGTAATACCTATTCTAATTATATTTTTTCATTTTTGTTAAAAAAGGCTGAAGCACATCATTATACAAGTTGGTGCTACAAATCTTAGGGACACAATTGAACTGGTTAAGTACCAACATGTTAAGTAAAAACCTATATCCACCAAATAACACCTTATTCCTCCTCCAAGGACTTCTATAGTGCACTCTACCATGCCTCACTTCATACCCTGGGTTCAAAAACAAGGCTTGAATAGACTGGTTTCAGCAAACAATGAATTTCAATGAACTCTCATGGAGTAAATTTGTATTGTTTTGTCCTCTGAATTGGTCTGCATTGGGAATATCCTGAAAGGGATCTATTCAATGAATCCCCAGAAATCATGATATTTACGCTTTATTCCATCCTTTTTCCTGTCATGGGCCAGTTTCTGGTTTGATAAACATTGGTCTAGCTTGGGTACAAACAACACCATGATGGACAAAAGACATTAAAGTACTCAAGCTAGACCACAATGCACCATTTTTGCCATCTCAGAAAAGGTTTGTTATGAGTCCCTATGGATGTGTGTACCAATATGCCCAGTAACCCATTTTACTACCATCTTTCCATGGGTGCACAAAACCTTGCAATGAGCAAGTGTTTAGGATGTACTGTGTGCTATACTCCACCCTAATCCCTGATGTTGGGGGTCTATATGGGTGTGAATAATATATCCATTCCCCCACCCCATTTCCCTGATACCCTTGGTCCATAGATAAGAAGACCTTCCTATTAATACAGAGAATGTATGTATATAGTATTATGTACTATACTATAGCCCATCCCTGATGTCATGAGTCCCAGGGTCCATGAATAAGACCCTACCATAAATACCTGGGGGGGGGGGGTTGTCCACCAGAATTTGGGTAGGGGTGTTCCGCTGGGATTCTGAAAGGAGTACTTTGTATATGATAAAAAAACTCAAATTTGTGGATCCTGTTTATGATAAAAGATATAATTAATTGCACTGAGTTCCTGTTTCAATTATCAAGTCATCTCACGTATCATTTTTTTTACAACCATAATAACCAGTTTCGGTCAATACGAAAGTAGATACCCTGAATATGACAGGAAACTCAGGAAGAACTTGGAACTTGAGTGAAATTGCATACCCTGTTTATGACAAGAAGCTCGAAAAACCATGCCCTGTTCAGTGGATCATCCCCGTATAGTCCATATATGAGAGTTCTCCCGTACCCCCCCCCCCCCCCCCCCCCCCCCCCCCCCCCCCCCGGGCATAAATATCCAGGATGTATACATACTATTCACCCCTTGCATTGATTTTCTAGAGGAATCATTCTGGGAGACAAAACAATAGGCCATCTTTTCTTATGCAAAAACAATAAATTGCTTCGTCCCCCACGAAAAATATTCCTCTCTGGACTCATTGTAAGGGTGTATACTCCACATGCTTTTCTAACATCATAGGTCTCTATGGATGTTTGTGTGATAAGAATCAGGCTTTAACTCAATTTTTAATACCCATGCAGGCCAAACATGCAGAGAGTATGGGAGCACATGCCATAGGAGTCTTACCACCATTGTTTCCGAGACCTGCAACTATAAGTGAGTGATTGTAACATTCCCATAACATCAACCTGACTTTTGAATTTATAAAATACCCCTGTGTTCCATGATTTAAAAAACTCATTTAGTCAAGGGGGTTAGCATAAGTTAAAAATAGGCACTCAATATAAGCAAATGTGGCTACTGCAAAGTTAGCAAGTGTGACAGACAGATAACTTGAAAAGAGAGTACAGTATAAAATAGTACAATATATATAGTCACCCTTGATTGAGCTATTTGTGGTTTCTTCTTATAGATTCTTTTACTGAGTACATGAGGCAAATTTCAATAGCTGCTCCTAAAACTCCAATTCTTTATTATCATATACCAGAGATTACAAGTGTTAATTGTAAGTAAAAGCTTTTTTATTWTTTTTTTAATTTTTTCGGAAAACTTTCAAATTTTATCAATTCTTTAAAACAACCTCTGGGTTGATCAAAGTCGAACAATTTAGTTTGTTTAAGATTTTGGGAGGCTGAAAGCCTAAGAAACTGGAGAAAAACCGTTCGATCAAGGGAGAGACCCCAGGGGTGTACTACCACCCCAACTTGGGTAGGGGTGTGCCGCCAGGTTCTCAAAACCCTGACCCTATCCCAGACCTAAAATTTTGATTTTACGTACCCTACCCCAGACTAAAACTAAGAATCGTACACCCTATCCCAGACTAAAAGACGGAAAAGATGGTTTTTCAACAGATTGTAATCAATATTTACTAACGTTTTTATTGTTTTTGTGCCGGCAGAAACCGTAGCCTATTCGCCAGACAAAAACGACCAAATCGTTAACTCTATCCCAGACTAAAATGATACCCTATCCCAGACAAAATGTCAAAAAATGATACCCTACCCCAGACCCAAAAGCCGAAAAACCATACCCTATAGGGCGGCACATACCCGTATAGCAAATATAGGGGAGTACCCCCCCCCCACCCTCCCGTGGGAGAGACTAGATCTAACAGACTCTACTCACATGTGATGCCAAGCTAGTAGTATAGGTCGCACCGCAAGGGCCGGATTTTTGCAGTGGATTTACTAATTTTGCGGTGGATTCGAGTATATTTGCGGTGGATTTAATTAAGTTCTAATACATCACACATTACGTGTATCATATGCGGTGGATTTAATTATTTTTATTACTTATTAC